TTTCAATCTGATCCATTTTAAAAGGAAAGATTCTTCTCTCAGCTCTAACCTGGTTAATGCTATAGGACATTTGGGAAGCATGAGACAGATATCTCACCCATTCCTGCTACCCTCTGCATTCCTTGAATGGCAGGCAGTTCTGTCTTTCAACTCCCCAGTCACGTCCTTGGTTCCCCTGAACTCTGTGGCTTCTTTTAAAGATTACCATTCAAGGAAGATGTCCTCCTCCTGTTCCAGTGGGGGAGAAATGTCAGACAGAGCTTTCTTAAAAGCTTTTCTTTAACCAACAGAACAAAAACAAAACAAAACAGATTTCAGGATGAAAGGAACAAAGATTCTTATTTACAAATCAATTTTACAGCAATTCCATTAAATAGGACTTTACAGAGAATAAATAAAGGAAAAAAACCTTATACATTTATAATTAGGTATATTTTAAAAACACTGAATGCTTTTTAATGAAGCTAAATGATATATTATCAGTGTATTATAATTATCAGTTTAGATTAAGCAAGACATCTGCACATCATAGAAATGAAAGGAACCAAGTTCCTAGCATCCTCCCATAATACAGGTATTAGTTCATCCAATTCACCTGTCTTACACGTATTATGTTTGCATAATACATATACATATTCTGCCCTAGCCTCCGCCCTGTGGAACAGCATTCCCCCTGCGCTGAGGGGGCATGTTGGCCTTCCAGAAAGCCCTTAAACCATGGTTTTGTCAACTAGCTTGGGGGTCCCATGATAGAGGGAAGCCTGCTAGATGGCTGTATGAAAATTAATGGAATGCACTCTCAGTATGTTTTGCTGCCATATGATTTTTTTGTTTTATTTTTATCTTCTTGTTATCTTTCATTTTTAATAATCATTTTATTAAACTTTACAATTAAAAAGATAAGAACCAATATAAACTAAAAAATAAGAGTATATAAAAAATAGAAAGTGCAGAAAAGAAAAAAGAAAAGCAAGAAAAATAAGAATATAGTAAAGAAAAAGAAAAGACATGAAGAAATGACTTCCCTCTTCATAACGGCAAGTATAAACAATTTTAGTAACGTATCACCTTCTCTTAAAACACAACAAACGACCTCTTCTTTCCATATCTCATCTGTTACCTATAAACAAATCTTTAAAGCCTCGTA